CCTGAAATCACTAACTTCCTGTAGCCATCAGTGAGTTTCTTCCTCCTGTCTATTGGAATTCTGGACCACTCTTCTCTTCCAGCTGCTCCAGGTCTCTCAGATTTGAAGGGTTCCTTCTCCCAGCTGCTGCTCTGAGATCTCTCCACAGCTGCTCTGTGGGATTTAGATCTGGACTCATTGCTGGCCACTTCAGAACTCTCCAGCTCATTGAAACCATTTCTGGTGCTTTTTGAAGTCTGCTTTGGGTCATTGTCCTGCTGTAAGACCCATGGCCTCTGACAGAGACCCAACTTTCTGACACTGGGCCCTACATTTCGCCCCAGAATTCATTGGTAGTCTTCAAGTTTCATAATGCCACACACACAGTCAAGACATCCAGTGCCTGAAGCAGCAAAGCAACCCCAAAACATCAGTGAACCTCCACTGTGTTTGACTGTAGGGACCGTGTTCTTTTCTTTGAAGGTCTCATTTTGTTTTCTGAAAACAGTAGAATGATGTGCTCAACCAAAAAGCTCTATTTTAGTCTCATTTGTCCACAGGACATTCTCCCAGAAGGTCAAAGTGTTTATTTGTCATATGCACAGTTAGCAAATGTGTTTCCCTGTACAATGAAATTCTTACTTTGCCATCCACATGAATGCCACATAATACAAGTGAAATATAAATTAGATGAGCAATAACACAAATCTAAATAGGCAGTAACACAAATCTAAGGCACTTTAAAGCAACAGGTGAAGGGAGCAAATAAAAATACAAGAAGAACATGATATAATGCAGAGAGGAAAAGGATTAATACACAGGAGAGAATGTTCTGGAAAACTTTGACCCTGGAGGATATGACACACATTTAGCTTTATAGGAAACTCTGACTAATGCCGGGGATCACACTAGATAATATCAGTCCAAACTAGAATGACCTTTTTATGGTTGTATGCCTCCACCAACCAGTCAAATCCACCAGAATGGGACAGATATGAGGATACAGTGACCTTCACCTTTGACTTTTAACCACCAAACTCTAATCAGTTCATCCTTGAGTCCAAGTAGATAATTGTACCAAATGTGAAAAAATTGCTTCAGATCATCCATCCATAGGGCCTAGTGTCACAACCATGATATCATAGAATGCCTTAGGCCATGGCTATTGCTGGAACAGTAGCATAAACAGGCTAGATTCAGCAAATATGGGGGTGTAGGTAATGAAAGTAAACATATAGCATGACAGGTTGTCATTTTATCATTTTATTTAGACAGGAGCAGCTCACAATGCCTCAGTGGAAAGTCTACCACTTCAAATGTTTTGTCATCATGCTTCATGATGCCTTAGACACAATCGCTGGAACATTCCAGTCATTAATGAAGTTAGTATACCATGCTGTATTTCACCACAAATGGGCCTCTAGACTGTACACAATATTTTGAGACTGCTACTTGGATGAGGTTGTGTTTCCTGCCAGCATTATAACTTAATTAAATATGACTGCCATGTGTTTAAAGTGCCTCTCTTACTGTATCTATAGACTCTCCCTCATCCCTGGCCCTGTTGGTTTTCTACATCATCCTTGGTGTGGTGGCAGGTGGCATGGTACTCTGCTGGTGCTGCTGGTCACCTGGCTGGTTCCTTTGGCGCATCAGCATCTGTCGCTTCTTACCCTGTTGCAACTCGCCCTGCGCCTCCTGCCAGCTCTGTGCCCATAGCTGCACCCACAGTAAGGAACATCGACTGGCAAAAGTCACACCACACACACCTGTCAGCGGTAACCCAACTGGCACAGCAGCAGGCACCCACAGTGCTGATGAAAATGTTAACACAGTGGATGTTTAGAGCAGAAGGACTGTCTGGTTGACCAGATTTGGCAAACAGAGACATGGATACACTAATGCTCAGCTGTGAGCAGTGATGGACATAAACAGTTACTGCAATAGGCAGTGCATCATGACCAAGAATCATTGCGGGTTGAACAAATGTGGTCCAGTATGCCATGCTGAAAAGAGCTGGACTAAAGGGTTTTGGTTAAACTCTGGCTGGTGTGCTTTAAATATGGGGATGCCAGTGATGTCACTGCTGTGTTTATGCTGAGGATAAAGCAGGGTACAGTATGACTATGGGCTGTCTAGAAGTATGAATGTATCTAGGTTCTTAGAACTCTTGGAATCACTTAAGAAAGTCTTTTGTTCACAGTGTGCTTCAGCTGTTTTGACTTGATTATTATGATTCAACACATTGTGTTTAAGAAACTGCTTATGCTGTTTGAAGTACAGCCTTTGAACCATGGCCAGTTTTCAGATTAGAATGTTTAGTTGTTAGTCTGAATAGTTTTTAGTCACATGTTTGTTTATTTCTTATAAACATGCTTTTCTGCTCTGCCCCAGAAATAATTCAGTCACACAGTGGAACTACACTTGCAGTCCACAGCTGTGGACACATGCTGAGGAAGCAGCCCCAGGGCTGCAGAGTCACCAGCTTGGTGACAACAGCTGTTCTCCCCTGGAAAAAATTCCTTCAAATGTTCCACTCTCCCCACAGCAGTCTTCCTGTGGTTCCATATACTACATGTCAAGTGTTTATTGTCATATGCACAGTGAGGAAACATGTTTCCCTGTACAATGAAATTCTTACTTTGCCATCCGCACAAATGTCACACAATATAAATGAAATATAAAGTAGATATGTAGGTGACACAAAATCTAAATCACAAAATCGAAGGCACTTTAAAACAGCCAATGAAAGAAGCATAATGAAACATACAGCAAGAGCACAATGTAGTGAAGAGAGAATAAATGCTACATGGGAGCTGTGTGTGCAAATACTCCGCAGTGAGTGTGCAATTATGCATGTGCAAACTGAGTGTATAAACAGTACAGGTGGAATTACATGAGGTAGTTCTTGAGTCAGGTGTTTAGAAGTCTGATGGCAGTCAGAAAGAAAGACTTTTTCAGTATAGAGGTCCTGCATTTCACACTCCTGGTACCTCCGGCCCGAGGGTAGAGATGTGAATAGTCCATGCTGGGGGTGGGTGGGGTCCTTGAGGATGGGGGCAGCTTTCCTGCGCACTCTGCGGTGGTAGGTGATCTGCAGAGAGGGCAGTGGGGTCCTGTTGATCTTCTGTTGGGGTGCCAATGTTTGTGATGATGCTGGTTGAGGTCCTGTTGCCAGTCCTGACAGTCTGGGGCCTGCCAGTCAGAAGGTCCAATAGCCAGTCACAGAGGGTGGCATGCAGACCTAGCGTGGACAGTTTATGGGTGAGTTTGTGGGGGATAACTGTGTTGAAAGTTGAGCTGTAGTCAATGAAGAGTATCCTGATGTAGGAATCTCCATTTTCCAGGTGGGAAAGGGAATAGTGTAGCGCAGCCGCGATAGCATCTGAGGCTGCCCTGTTGGGCCAGTAGGCATACTGCAGGGGGTCCAGGGTGTCCGGTATACTGCTCTGAATGTGGGCCAGCACCACTCTCTCAAAACAGTTCATAATGATCGGAGTGAGTGCCGCCGGCCTGCAGTCATTCAGGCAGGTGACTGGGCTCCTCTTGGGAAGGGGGACGATGGTTGGGGTCTTAAAGCAGGTGGGAATGATGCTCTGGCTGAGGGGGAAGTTAAAGATGGTGGTGAGAACATCAGCCAGCTTGCTGGTGCATGCTCTGAGTGCCCTACCAGGGATGTTGTTTGCACATACTACATACAGTAATGTGAAGTTTGGACAGTGTAGCACAAAGTTATCCTGTGTCTGATTGTCAGTATCATGTTGGGATAAACTTTTTGGTACCAAATAATAAACTTCTAACATGCTATTGTGTGCACAACATAAATGTACAAGAAATTACAACAGAAATTCATGTATACTTAACCTAGGTATTGTCAGGTCAAGTAGATAGTATTATAGAGTTTGAGAAATACATGTTGTGAAACTGAAAAGCAAAATGATAAGTAAAAAAAAGTCCAGAATTGGTAAATTGCATTTATAGTCAATTTTAAAGACAAGGTAGTATAATGTATAAATTTGTTTTAACTTGAGATGATAAAGATGTTAAGAAGGTTCCGGGTTTGGGTCCCAGCTGACCTGGGTGGGGCCTTTCTGTGTGGAGTTTGCAAGTTCTCCCTGTGCCTGCGTGGGTTCCCTCCGGGTACTCCGGCTTTCTCCCACAGTCCAAAGACATGCAGCTTAGATTGATTGGTGACTCTAAATTGCCCGTAGGAGTGAGTGTGTGTGGTTGTTTGTCTACATGTCAGTTCTGTGACAGACTGGCGACCTGTCCAGGGTGGACTCCACCTCTGTCCCAATGTCAGATGGGATTGGCTTCAGCCCCCCATGACCCTATTCAGGAATAGGTGATATAGATAATGGATGGATAAAGATGTTATTAACAATAAAATCATCAGGAAAATGTCATCATTATTTAGTAAATGTTTACAGTGGTGTGATTATTTATTGTCTGTTAATGTGCACTTGTC